GTGTGCTCTTCCGATCTCCCCAAAACCCCAAAACCCCAAAACCCCCTAAAGAAGAATTTGCTCAATTGAGAATAAAATTTATGGAACAAAGTTTTAATATATAATTATTATATATTTAATTTTATTTTCTCATGATGTCTGCTGCAATTTATCATAATTAATATACCTTGAGTTTTATTTCCTAACAAGTCTGCATCTACTTAATTATAGCTTATCGAGAAAATTATATATTTACCTATCTGGGTGAGTTTTTTACTAATAAGTACTTTTTATGTCCACTGCTGTTTCATTTAAAGTTGAATCATTTTTCCTCAGTAATTATTGCACTGTAAATTGACATCGGTAAATGGGGGATTTATGGAATCTTACCTTTTAAAAATTGAATGAATTCATTTTAGTCTAATAGAATTGTAGTCAGTGCTAGTTCTACATCATAATTTTTATAATGTAAATATTCTAATGCTTGTTATTCTAAATAAGGAGCATACTAATATGGCCAATACTAAATTACATTCAATAGATAACAACCTAAAAAATTATATAATTTATTGTATTTACTAAGTTTAATTTAGGAAATGTTTTCAATCCTAAATAAATATTTAATCTGGCCCTCATTTAAATCTTTAATCTCTTCTTTAGCAGTATGTGAAATATATTCAGGTACTGTAATATTTTGCATACGTAAATCATCTTATAGCATGACTTCGTCTTCTTCCTTAATTTATTTTTCCTCAGGCTATTCAATATCGAATCCAAATGCTGAAGGATACTAAGGTAAACAGTTTAGGGATTCTTGATTAAATCTAATGCTTTAATTGCTTAATCAACTCTCTAATTACTTTAGAGTGACAGATTCAAATAAAGTGTTTTCTTATTAATTCTAAGTTACTTTCTACTCTTGAGATAATTTATAAAGCATATCATTTTTCTAGACTATATTTGAATTTGCTGTTTTCTATTCAAATGGATCCTTTTTTAGCGTGAAAATATTTTCTCTTACCCCGTTTATGAGTAAGTTGACATTTTGTTGGCTTTAAATGCCAATTTTATCTCTAAAAAGAATGCAAGTTCCTTCCTAGAGCCTTATAAAATGTTCTACAAAAAATAGCTCCTTATCTGAGTTTTTGGATTACGAAGTTAACAAATTTTTTTCTTTACTTTCTAGAGGAATCATTTTAAAATTATAATAATAATTATTGCCTCCTTAATTATTTAATATGATTTTGTTTTTGCGTTCTTATTAAATTATTTCTTAATCAACTATTCCTAATCATTTAAATCTAAGGGGTTTTGGGGTTTTGGGG